AACTTGTTCTTGTTGGATTTATAGGCGCACTCAAGTTGGGGAAATGGGAGAATGGCAGGATCCCTCCAGGAGAGATCCTGAGGTCACCAAAGGGAAGGTCACGTGGGCCACAGGAAAGCGCATGCTGTCCAGTAAGCTTACAAGCAACTGGCCTGAACTGCCAGGGTGTGTACACAGTCCCCTGCTGTAAAATCACTTGTGTGAATTGTCTGGTGGCCCAGGGGAAGGGATTGTACTGGAAGGGGAGGCCCCAGGGCGGAATGTGGGCTGGACCAAGTTTAGGATTACAAGTGCCACAGAGGCGTTCTCCAGCCACACTTTAAATAGCCAGCACCTTCCTCTGCCCCCTAGATAATTCTTCTCCCCCCGACTGGACCTCTGGCAGCAACTTCACTAAGGTTCGAAATGTTTTCTTCTCTCTCTTTTTTTTTCTTTTTCTGTTTCTGGGTCTCAGGTTGCGGGTTGGTAGATCCACAAGACTTAGAAGCCAAATTTTGATTTTCTCCTAGAAAATGTTTCTGACACTTAAGATGTGCATATGCAAAGACTGTGTGCTATTTTCTTGAGTTTCGGAATCTTGGGTGTCTCATGACTTAAGGAACAATGTGCTTTGGAGAAAGAGAAGCCCATATTGAGGAGAAAGACACTGAGTTTAATTTCAAGTGATCAAAGCCTTTGCTGTGAAATTAGGTAATGATCAATTCTGACAGGAATATAGATATAGACACATATTCCTTTTAGCTTAGTATATCCTGTCATTTTTACTTTAAAGAAACAAGCTAAGGCTGAGTTATTCATTAACTTTTCCGAAGTTAGAGAGTGGTATGAGAAAAAAACGAGGGTTTGAACCCAGGCTTGTCTGACTATAGCGAGTGTCCTTTCATCTGCAACGTGCTACTCCTAAGAAGCAGCTATAGCGAAGCTATGGGAAAGGACCACTGTTTCTCTGAGGGTCTTTCCATCACTAGAAGACATCCATCCGCTAGTTGGTTGAAGGAGACACAGATGACCGCAAGACCTTCCTTAATCGCCCTTCTCAAAGGAACTGAGGAGACCACTGGGGGTCATTGCTGCGGTTCCTCCTCTCTCCTCTTGGCCCACAAGTAATCTTGGAACCCATCCCTTAATTTATCAAATGAGCAAAGGTACCATCAGTTCCTTGACTTTCTCTTTGACTTTCTGGACTTGTCAGGGGCCTAACTGGAGAGGCAGAGCCAAACTGCCTATGGCCCAAGGGGTTCCTGCTGAGACAGTTCTGCTAACATGAATTTTTTTTTTTTGAGGCTTAGGAAAAAGTCACCCTGCCTACTTCTCTAAAAAAGAAATCAGGGGGACTCCCTAGAAGACACTGCAGTGAAATTGCAGCAGCTAATATGATTGAAGGGATATAAAGAAAGAGCAGGAGGGGCGAGTGCATTCAAGTCTGTGCTGTACAGTTTGCCAGTTATATGGCAAGTCACGTTATGCAGCCTCGCTAAGCTACATCGCATTTACACAGTAGGGGTAATAATACACCGCGGGGTTGTTTTCAGAATTAAATGAAAGGACCGTGTGTAAAATGCCTAATCTATAGGAGCTGCCGACTGAATGTGAGCCACATACAGTCTTACCCTCCAACAGCAGTCTAGAAGAGACTTTTGACATCTCTGACAGTGCAAAGTTTAGAGCCATGGTTTTATACCTATTTTGTGGTGGTGGTGGTTGCGGTCTTCTCTGCTGTAAATTTCTATATGTGTCATCACACACACAAACACCCCCCCACACACACACATAGAAAAATCTGCAGTTCATCTTTCTCCTTTGATTTCAGAAAGAAATGGAGAAATAAATGCCTACACAGCTCAGTTCAAAGTCACTGGTTCCACTGTACTTCTCAATTTCCCACATTCCTTTGGAAGGATTAAAAAAATGGCTTTTATTTTTATGCTACAAAAATAAAACATGCTTCTTGATGAAAACATAGAAAACATCGATTAAGAAAATATTCCTGTAATCTAACTGCAGGAGGGAAATATTTTGGTAGAAAGCCTAATCTTCCAGTAATATAAATACTTTATAAAATATTTGCCAAACATATCATACTGCATATGCTATTTTCACTTCATATATTGTGAACAGGGTTTGTTTCAGTATACTTTCTACAGTTTCTAAATGATTATATAGTTGTTCATTGTATATATTTGCCATAATTTGTTAACTCTCTATCATTTTTTTAAACATTTACGTACTTTATAATTTTTTGCTTTTATAAACAATGCACATGCTAAATACCAAATTCTTGCTTACAGTCATAATTACTTCTTATTTCTTCTGCAAAAGAAACAAGTGGCTTTGACAATATGTAAAATCTCATCCTTTCAATTGTCCTCAGAATAGGTAAAGAAACCAAAGCCCAGGCCAATATAGTCCAGCGGGCTGCAGTGTGGCAGAGAGGACTCAGACAGCCAGGGCTACATGAGTACTTCTGGGCCCCCAAGTCCCAGCCTGAGAGCACGTGGGTAGAGGAAGCAAAATCTGTTCCATCGGTGTCAGCGCTTTGTTCCTGCAAAGGGAGAGGAGCGATAGTCCCAGTAGGTGCTGTCTGACTGAAGGACGAGAGGACAATGTTCTGCAGACAAAGGGGATTCACCCTTTCACAGTGCATCTTCTCCCTCAGAAATTTGCTAATGAAGGGAGGAGCCTTTCTCTCGGGATTCCCAGCAGTAACAGAGCATCCCACTTGTTTTCCAGGTGGGATGGATAGCGGGGTCTCAGGCGCAGCCAGTAATGGAGAAACAAAACCAGTGTATCCAGTCATGAAAAAGGCAAAGGAAGATGGCACTCTGGAGCGGGGGCACTGGAACAACAAGATGGAGTTTGTGCTGTCAGTGGCCGGGGAGATCATTGGCTTGGGCAACGTCTGGAGGTTTCCCTATCTCTGCTACAAGAATGGGGGAGGTGAGAGCCACTGCACCATCCCACCCGTCCCGGAAGAGGGTGCTTCCATCTCCTGCACTTACTGCTCCCCTGGGGAGTCCATAGATGCAGCATCAGAAGCACCCTGAAGGCCACTAAGGACACTTCAGGAGACTGAGGTCTAGAAAGCTATGTGAGTGTCCTAAGGGTCTGTCAGGTACAGTGTAGCCACATAGGAATGGAAACGCAGGCTTGGAACCGGACGGATCTGGGTTTGAATTATGGCTTTGTTGCTTTCTATGTGATATGGGGGAAGTTACTCAATTAAGCTCTCCAAGCACTGGTGGCTACTCCTGTAAATCAAGACAGGAATATCTGTCTTTTAAGGTGGTTGTAAAGTCTAGAGATAATGTATATTAAGTGCTTAATAAACAGTAGCTATACTCGTGGTAGTACTCACACCAAACTGTTCTGTGGTCTTGAGATTCCTCGGCCTTGGCTTTGTGGCTTTGTGTCTTCCCCCTCTTCAACGGGCACCATGACATTTCTCAAAGTGATCCAGGGCTCAACCTCCGTCCGCATTTTAACCATTGACCCTGGTGGTTCTTCTTTTACAGATTTCCAACCACAAATGGAAAATTTATATGTGAAGAGAAGAGTGTTAACTCTAGCTGTTTACTATGACGTTGAATTTCCATTTTCCTTCATTCCACTCCCACCCCCCGGTGGTAACTCTGTCATTCCCACAGCAGTGGTGGTAATTCTGCTTCCACTCACCCACTGCCAGGGAGTCCCAAGTCTCTGAGGGATGTCCCAGGAGGATTTCCTAAGTCCTGAAGATTTTTGGTGGACCAAAAGGTTAGGAAGATCTCCAGCTGGTAGGTAAAGCTTTTAGGTCAGGCATTCTAATTTGTAATGAGCCCGCAGCCTGGGCTGAAGGAATATGGAATGCAGAGGTCGGTCACTGGGAAACATGCTGGGAGCGGTCATGTCATAGGCCACAAAGACGGTGGGGGGGTACTGTAAGACAACACCTACCCTTTCCCGGGGAATAGGGGCCTTCAAACCTAAAGCTCAAGCCTCCCACTGGTTCTGGAGAAAGAAAGCACACAAGCCAGAGTGAATGCGGGAGGGCTGGGGGAGAACACTAGAGAGATACTCTGGGCCATAGGGCCCCCTTCCCAGGTCTGTGGCAATTGGGGATTGACCCTGGGGTTGGAAGTTAATTTGTGTTTTTGCAAAGGGATAGCTATGAGCTAATGTGTCCTTTCTCCCCAGGAAGTTTTGGTCAGTGGCCTGGAGCCACAGGACTTTGCTCAGTCTGCAGAGGCAAGGGCAGAGGTCTTCCCACTTCCAGCTAGTGTTGGACGCCCCTCAGGCCTGCTAAGGAATTTGAGCCTGAGCACTTTCCCTTGAGAAACTTAGGAGGATGGATGAGGCTGGCCCAGGGTATAAACAGGAGTCAGGGGCTAAGCTGGGCACTGAAACTCTATGTGTGGGACCTGGTAACCAGCTTAGCTCCTCACATGGACAAAGATTAGGAGGTGAGCAGCTTTCCCCGAGCCTCTCTGGAATTGGGTAAGCACCGGCCTGGGAATTAGCAGGAATGGCACGAAGAGGTGAAAGACAGTGATTTCCAGGTTTGATTCAAAACCGCCAGGCCGAAGAAGGCACAGCAAAGGGGAGCATTGACAGGAGCAGCTGGGGATATGGGGCTCATCTACTTCATTTGTCCGGCAGCCCTTGGGTCTGTGCCCTGCTCTAGGGCTCCATGGTGAGCGTATGCAGGCTGGGGCCCCGCTGATTCTGTTTTGTGGGGCAATGCAAGTGTCTGAAGAAAAGAGTACTTCTGTTTCTCACGTGGATATGGGAAGTGGAGGTAACAGGATGGGTGCTCAGCCTTTGTTTCGCCTGAATAGAGCCTGCCTCCCAGCATGCTCTTCGAAACTGATAGTGGAGACATTTTTAGGGGTCCTGAGATCAGGTCAGGTTCTCTCCCTTTCTTTTTTTTTTCTTGCTTTCTCTCTCTCTCTCTGTCTCTCTCTCTCTCTCTCTCTTTGCACTACTGTGGGTTGGACTGAGGGCCTTTACACTGGACCACATCCCTAGCTCTTTCTCGCTAAGTGACTAAGTTGCCTAGGTAAGAGTTGAACTTGGAACCCTCCTGCCTCAGCACCCCTAAGTGCTGGGATTGTGGCATGTACCACCATACTTGGCCAGTCAAGTTCTTTCTTTAAGCTACATGCCACTACCCACAGTTTTGCCCCTCAGTGTAGCATGAGGCTTTAGCATGCCCTCTCTGTTTGCTGATAGATGACGGCAGCTGAAGGGGCGTGTTCTGAAGGACTTTGGAGCTAGAGGCGGATACCCAGGTTTGCTTTGAAGGGCATGAGTCATCCAGGGGTCACTGGGTGTGTTCATGAAAAGGCTCCTTTGCCAAGTGCTGACCAAGGATGTGTCTGGTCATTAGCAGAACCCAGACCTGCCTGCAGTTCTGTTTTTTGGTGTTTCCAGTGGTTTACTCACTGTCATCAGTTAACTCCCCCATCTGCCAAGGAAAACAAGCTTCTACAGAGAACAGGTCCAAGGATTTCACTTGACATCTTCTTTTTGCCAAAGAGACTGATGCTTCTTTATGAAAGGACACTTTGCTGCTGATTTGGGGAAGGAAACTGCAGAGCACGGAAATCATTTAGACTGATTTGACCTCTTCCTTCCTGGTTTAGTGATTTATTTAAACCCACGGGTCTCAGATTGGGGCTTGGGCTCATGGGGACGACAGGAATGTTCTGTACAAGTCCAGGAGAAGGATGCTGGGACGCTCCAGAGAAATACCAAGCTTAGGTAATGTACCCTGCCAGTTGCTTCTGGAATCTTCTTCAAAGTCCATTGCTTTACAGAGTCACTTTTGTGCTGGGGGAGGGGATGATAAAGTAGGAACTTAGTATTTGTTCGGTAAGAAAGTTGGGATGAAAAAGCCCCCAAAGTATACCTTTAGTTTCAAGCTAATATAAGTGATGTCTTCTTTAGTTTCTTTCTGCTTTAACATTTGGTAGATCTAATTTGAAGTGAGTTCCAGAGAGGAAAAGGTAAGATACATAGAAGCATAGGTAGGCAGGATACGGTGGCACATGCCTGTAATCCCACATTCAGGAGGCTGAGGCAAGAGGATCGCTACAAGTTGAAGGCCCACCTGGGCTACAAAGTGAGTTCAAGGCTAGCCTGAGCTGTATAACAAAACCCTATCTCAAAACCCTGTCTCAAAACAAAAAGCCAGAAGCAGTAGGTAGGACTTTTAGGGAGCCTGTGGGAGGAGCTCACTCCGTCATTCTTAGGTGCTCATCCTCCCTGTCATCTGGGATCATGGCCTGTCTGCCCCGTGCCTGCCTTACTCCAAGGCTTCCTAGATCTCCAGTTTGTCCCTGACATACATCGCCAACTGAGCCCTGACACTGTTATTCCACAACAAATATTTACTGAGTACCCAGCAAAGGCCAGGCATTGCTTTGTGTGGTTGGGATACAACACAACAGACCAGTGCCCTTTCCTTGTGAGTGAGCTGGGCATGTGGGTGTCGGGGTAAAGTGCTCCAGGAAGAGTAAACAAAGTTTAATGGTCTTAAGCAAGAGGATGACTGGCTTGTTTCAGGAGCCCCCAGGAGGCCAGGGAGTCTGAAGCAGGAGAAGTGAGTAGAACTATGGTCAGAGAAGCACAGGAGTGTAGGGGTGAGGAGCAGCTACAGTCTTGTTGGCCATTGTAAGATTCTGGCTTTTATTTATTTATTTATTTATTTTTGGTTTTTTTTTGTTTTTCTCCGGTACCGGGAACCGAACTCACAACCTTGCGCTTGCCAGGCAGGCACTCTGCCGCTGAGCTAAATCCCCATCCCCTCTGGCTTTTACTCTAGTGATGTGCAAAGCCAGGGCAGAGTTTTGAGCAGAAGTGGCATGACCTTATGCTTTAAAATGATCTGTCTGGCTACTGCACTGAGAACTGATTATAAGGAAGGAAGAGCTGATATATACCAGTTTCAAGGCAAAAGTCTTGGGGCCAATTTTGATTCCCTTCTTTTATAACTGTTAGCTCTACCCAAACACCCAGATGCTGCACGCTCCAGAGCTGGGCCTCCAGCAAGGGCCTCTCTGGTTCCCTGGACCCTGGCTGGACTCCTCAGCACCCAGCGTACCTCAGGCTGGAGTCCCCCCGGGAGATATGTGGGATCTGACCAGTTGTCATCACCTCCATTGCTACCACTCTCTCTGAGCAATCCAGGGTATTTAACCTAGGCAAATAGAAGTGAAGGGCTGCTATTTATTGAGATATGGAAGGTTGTGAGAGAACAGATTTTGAGAGGAAAATGAGCTGAGTTTTGGGAATGTTGAATTGAGATATCTATTAGATATTCAAATAGAGCAATCAAATAGGTAATACAGCATATGAGTTGAAGTTAGTGAGAGAGATCTGGCTAGAGACGACAATTTGAAGATATAAGAAAAGAGAGCTGGGATCTGACAGAAGAGGAGGAGCCAGCAAAGGAGACAGAGGGAGAACGTCAGTGAGGTAGAATTAAAACCAAGAGAATCAAGGGTTTTGGAAAGCCAAGTAAAGAAATTGTATCAGCGAGAAGGGAGACATCAGCCACATCAAATGCTGCAGACGGGTTAAGAAAAAGGATGGATGAGAACTGCCTGTTGGATTTAGTAACATGGAAGTCACTGTGGCCCTGGTAGGCGTGGTTACAGTGGAGCGCTGGGGCAAAGACTGATTGGAATGGGTTTAAGATAATGGGGGAGATGCGGAGAGAAGAATTGGAAATCATAAATATGGGTTATTGGGGCAAATCACAGGGGTGTGTGAAGCCCGTGTGTTCCCCCTCCTAGGTTGGAGTAGGCCAGTCCAAGTGCTGCAGAGGAGCAGAAGTGTGCTCAGCAGGTCTAGCAAGGCGGGGACAGGTCCCTGAGCTGGCCACGTTGCTGAAGCCATTTCAAACTTCAACTATTTTTCACACCTCTACCCCCGCCTCCTTGGAAGGAAAAGCAAAGATGCCCTCCCACCAAGGCCTGTCCAGCTAAAGCACCAGCCGTGGGGATAAAGAGACTCTGGATCACCCAGGAGGCATGATATGGGGACAAGGGGGTAGGAGAAGACTTTGGAGATATGATTCAACTTGGTGAAGTGAAAATTTAAATTCCTTGCCTACCAGTCTCGGCTCAAACAAAACCAGACTGACTGCCAACAATTTTCACTTAATTTCCATGTCTATGTCGCTGAAAACCAGGAGCAGAGATTCCTTCTGCCAAAACCCTTGGTTTTTGCTGGTTTCAAAATACATCTGGAGACAACCTGGTGTAAGACAGGTGACCCCCTTCTTCCCTGCCCCCTCCAGATCCTTCTTGGGAGCCTCAGTCCTGGAAGACCCTGATCCTGGGTGCTTCAGGCCTGGGCCTTCAGCTGGAATCTCCTTGGCACAATACCTGCGCCTGGTGTCCCCACGCGAGGTCACAGCGTGTGGCAGTACTGCAGCTGGACCGCTCAGAAACAGGTGCAGCGGAGGGAAAGGGCAGGAATGAGGCTCATCTCAGCTCCGAACTCTGAGGGGAGAGCGCACAGGGGTGCCAAGATAAAGAAGACCAAATGAAATCAAAGGAAACTGTTAGGTTCAAAGCTGTTTTGTAGATAACAAAGAATAAAGAGGAATGGGAAGCACTTTTTCTTCATAGGCTAGTAATGGCTATGTGAGTAGCGCGTGACAAGTTGTTATCAGTTGAGTGAATTCCTGAATGCCCACCATCGGTAAGCCTAGTAACTATTCCTGCGTTCTCTTTCTCTTCTGTTGCTCAGGGAGACTAACAGTTTATAACCTTTAAAAAGTAGCTGAACTATAACAAGTGATGTCACCCCAGAGTGTGCTCCTTTTGAGAGGAGGGGCAGCTGAATGACTCTTTTCTCTGGGGAAAAAGTAGCAGATTTCAGGGTTTTGAGGAGACTAGCATGGGTGACTTGGGAGTGGAGGTGACTGAGCTCTGTCTACCATCTTCAGATCTAATTCCACTTTTTGACTGCGGTGATGGGAAGGGAAAGAGAAAAAGTGGAACTTGGGACTCCCTGGTCTACATCTGGATCTTCTCTGGGCTCCATCCCACCTCTGACACTTCAGGGCCCGTCGGTGTGGACTCTGGCCCTGTGGCAGGCTACCTTGTGCTCCAAGAGGCAGAGAGGAGGCGCAGCTGGCCGTGGGACTCGCTGCAGTCAAATATTGGCTTAGTGTATTGGGAAAGAGCACACCGCACAGATGTGGGACAGGCTTCAGCTGGACTGACAACTCTTCGTCTGTGTGTGTGTGTGTGTGTGTGTGTGTGTGTGTGT